GGCTAAATCAAAACCAGTAAGTTATGCTGTCAGACCTTATAAACTAGTATAATTATATATTTCACATAAAGTTATATGCAAAACAAAATATAAAAAAGAATACTTTTGAAATAGTCTCCCATATATTTTAAATTAAACTTTTTCAAAGACACAAAACCCCTTCCGTTTTGGTGCAATTGTAAATTTTCAGAAAAAAAAAATACAGTTTTTCTGAAAAGGTATATTCCGTATAAAATATGTAAATAAATTCTCCTAATGTAATGTTTGTATTATTTAGATAAGCTATCCAAAGATAAATGTCCGTAAATGAAATTTTGTAATTATGATATATCAGCCTCTGTGCAACAGAAACTTATTTCTATCTTTTATACATTCAATATACTCTCTCCCGTTCAAAAGTGTGTTTAAAAAATTAAGCTTTGTAATCGGGAGAATGATTTATTATCGGTAACATATTACGTTTAGTACAGGCAGTAATAGCAAATGGCCGCCTAACATAGTAAATTCTGGAACTTATCGCATATTTCCTTGTTAATCGCATGAACAGCGAACTGAAAATCAAAGTTAGTAAATTTAAAATAAATAAAGTTCAGATCTAAAGTACTGGTTAAAACAAACTAGGACAACTGATTCGTATCTTAAATTGCAGTGAATATTTGAAAAGAAATTACACAAAATAGCAAATTTATTACCTTTCTCAATTTTCATTCATTTTTCGGTAGATTTAGAATGTCTTTGATAATCATATATTTGATTTCCTATACTTCAGCACCAATCAATATAATAGTAACAATAATAATAATAGTAATAATAATAATAATAATAATAAAAATTCTATACGTTTAAGATTTTTTCTTTTATCAGATCTATACGTTTAAGTTTTTTCTGTTATCAGATCTACATCATCACAAAGGACGAAGTGTAAGTGTGTATCCAAATAACAGAGACTATCATGTAGGAACTGTCGTCAATAATTTGCTTGCATTTTTCATATTTCTTTAACTTTAAGGACTTTAAAATAACTAACCAAATAAAGAAAATGAACAAAATGAAGATGTTAACAACTCCATGCACTAACACACTCACAAAAATTATATCTTATACATGTATAATGAAACAAGGGTATGTTTTTTTCAGTATATGAATCCTGCGTGGAATGTTTGTAGAAGCGTACTCTTTCTTTAATTTTGATGCAGATGATAGGTGAAAAAGAATTACTTGGAAAGATATTACCGACTTTACACTTCATGTTAATAAAGGAGATAATTAGAAATTTATTGTCTATAAAGTCTAAGTCAATTTTTTTCAATAAGAAATGACTGCATATATTTTAATGATTACATATAATGTGGACAAATATTTGCAAATTACATATTCTTCGATTTTCGAAAATTGTTTTTAAGCATAATTATATACATATATAAAATTTCACTTTAGTGATTAAAATATACAGGACCCTTAAAACGTTTAGTTTACAAAGTATATTATCCATTTTCTTCTTGCATACAATAACATCTCATGGCAGTTTCTTCAAGTATTATGACATCTGAGGGTTCATGTTTCTATGCAATACAGCGCCAGCGCTTTGAGAATTTGGAGGAATTACAGTCAGCGACAAACACCCTAATACGTCAGTATCCAGCAGAGTATTACAGGAATATAGTGTGACATCTGAGGGTTCATGTTTCTATGCAATACTCTAATTATATAATTTCTACGACATCAATTACGGTTATTTTATGAAATTATTTTCGATCTATTTTTGTATACATGAAACATCCAACATGGGAATTACAATTATCTATAGTAAGTATTCATTGAACCTTTTTATTAAACACGGCTGCTTACGACTGTCATCGCGTGGAATAGATGTATTTTGCTGATTTCGTGTCTGTTGATAACAATTAACTTTCATTTTCGTCTTTGTATTGTTTGAGCATGCGTTTATTTAATCTCGGTCATTGTTTAATAGTCGGATTTGTATTATTATGCGGATCATATTACCGGCTCTCTTATTTACACTGCGCATGTGCAGCGTCTCTGTCCCGGCTCCCTAACATGCATTGTAAATGTATATCGGCTCGTCTCCAGCTCATTTACATGTACTGTGAATGAGCATTGGCTCGGACACGGTGACTGCACATGCGCGCTATCGGCTCAGAACGCCCAAAATCAGTTCTGAGCAGTCGTCTTCTAGATTTTCTTCTGAGCACAAGCATGTCTCATTTCTCTTTAAAGGGATACTCAGGCAAAATAATGACAAAAATATTAAAATGATCTTATGTACTCATATCACGCTAAAATGACATTTTTTAAAGTCCTATCATAAATTTCGGTATCAATTCTATATATTTTGGGTTTGAAGCGTAAATATATCTATATATATTAAACTAAATTTAGACGCCAACAGAATCACCGAATAGTTTTAAAACAAGTCATGTGACTTTAACAAACCCTGGAAGTTACATTAGCATATGTTGTGAATATTGTATGATAGAAAAAAGTCAAAGTCAATCATTTGACATGTTCTTTAACATATCCAGAGTTCATTGTGACAACTTTTATGATATCTAAGCGCTCTAACCTGACCCGCGCGGGTCAAGTTAGGAAACCACCAATTTATTTTTTATATGGAGAAAAGGTTTGTTCCTTTGACTGTCTAATGTACTTATTTTGAGGACATTTACAAAATAATGAATGAAAAATTCAAAACTAAGAAACTAAAATTTTGCCTGTGTCTCCCTTTAAAATATGCTTAAATAATTAAATTTCTGATTTTGAGGTAAAGTTAATCAAATTATATTACATTTGAATAGTTTAGATCTTTACGTAAATTTTTATGTCCAGCTTTTTTTTTACATTTATTCCAAAATATTCAACTTTTAAACTTTGTTTTTATTTCGAGGTCTGACAGTCCGCGTAGAAGTCACACTTTAAATATTATTGATAAATTGTTGCACCTTTTAATTCTTAGTATAATTGTTATTTAAATTAATTATTTTATCTGTTTATCGATAGTATAATTATTGTGTTCAACAACGACTCTCCAGTCGGTGACATTTATTTTAAGTCACCGTTATCACCATAGAGAGACAAGACTTTGTGTCTTCGTCTGAATTTCTACATCAACAATCATCACTCGAGATCATAGAACAACACAGAGAACAACATAAAACATCATCCTTGATTAGAATAAGTCCGCTACCATTTAAAGAGATTTTCCCCGCCCATTTTGATAAGCCGTCTAGTGACGGCCGACGCGAGTACAGCATCAACAAAAACCTCCTAAAAATATTATAAATTCAACAAACCAAGTAAAAAGTAGAATCTAACAACTAACATACGAACAAGAGCACCGTGCTCGCGTCGCACTGGTGGCAGCTAGGCAGGGATCTGAACCTACATTTCTGAAGATCATCACAAACAAATATTCAGTCAACCATATTGGAAACGTTACATTTTATAACTCGATAAACATCAACATCCGTGAAGTCAGTCAGTCAGTCAGTTTAAGTTTATTTATACTCGGCGCCGGTTAAACCATCTGTCCGAGAATATAGCATCCGTGCCGGTCCACTAGGGTAGTCACATCGGGGACGTCTTTTTCAAGCTGAATCTTCCTGAAGCCTATTCTTCGTTCGTTGGTGGTAGAGGAGTACGACAATACTGGCCAGGCATCAAGTTCCATACTGGACGATAACAAAAACGGCTCTCATTAGCGCCAACCCTCCAGAGTTAGTCACGACAGGTCAACCAATCACCTCTGGTACTTAAGATGACTTGACCTTGACCTGCCGTGTGCCTTCTCCGCGACGTGCACGCCTCTGGAGGGATTTTGAGAAGAATCCGTGAAGGTCAACTCCGCCCGTTTTTGTAAACTAAGGGAGGCTATTCGTACTACGACCGTCGTATTTAATCAACACAGTTACCCTTCCTTGAGTGTTTTTGCTTGACAAGTGAAAACTTGGCATTTTTTTAAACAGCATACTAAAATAAATTTGTTATTAACAGAATATTTTTTTTTAATTTATAGAATAGGAAGAAAATTATTGCAGACCTAGAGTGCAACATTCATCACAACATAGAGATTTGTCATATATATATTCATCATTACAATCTGATAGAGACCAGCCATTGAGATAATTGATTTTTTTTGTACAGTAAAACCAAGAACACATACACACAGAGTAAAACTTTTACAGATGATCTGAATACAGTGCAACTTTGAGTAACAGACATCTTGAGAGATTCCACATATTTTTTTTATTTATATAAATAAAGATTTATATTTCTTTTAGATCAGCAGATACAGTAAGACCAGTTTCATAGACCATACTACAATACAGTGCAACCTCAACAATAGATACCTTGTAGATTTGTTATATTTTGAATATTTCCTTATTTCTTATTTGTCCTTAGCATACAACTACTACAGATAACATAATGAGTGAGGACAAATCTCCCACTATAATATATGACTCAGATACAGATGAACCTTTCCAAGATGACCATATGCAACCTCAATCAACCCTCATTAGAAAATCTAGAACGCTTCTCACTCCTAGGGAAGAAGATAGTTTAAATGAAGAAATTTTAGCAACTCCAAGTGGAGAAGTTACATTTAGACTGCCAAGACAACAGATTAACCCTGATAAAAGAACCTATATAGAACCACCTGTGTCTTTGGCAGTATCAGACCATAATTACAGTAAGGAAAATGTCGAAACTGTACGTGATAGGTACAGATATTCGGGGAATGAAGAAATTATTAGGTGTGGGGCTGAGGGCGCCTTAATGAAGGACCCTGTTTTAAATGAAAGCCTTGGCCAAGGTAATAATGATAATAGAGCCCAGATTGCATCAAATTCCTACTCAATAAATCATTTGGTCCTTGAAAGGTCCCGACCACATTTTAGTTACAGTCAAGCAAGTCTTGAGGGCAGGGGTGGTCGCATGAGTTTTACACACGTCCGGACGTGCACGTTTTTGCGAACCACGGGCAGGTGGCAATGACACCTAGGATACGACAGGCTTCAAGCATAAACCCTGGGGATAATGGACAGGAATATTTTACTGATGGTCCAGTTCATAGATCAAGAGATACTACAGATGTGTCCATGACACATAGAAATAGAATTAATGATTATAATTTTAACAACCCTAGGTTTTATTTAGACAACAGACAAGCATATCCTGAGACAGATAACAGATATAATTCTCAAGTTTCTATGGCGCCTAGAAATTTGAATGTAGGACATTATAGTAATGCCCAACCTTTGATACGTCCAATGGTACCAGCTACATATGATGGTACCACTTCATTTGAAAATTATTTGAGACAGTTTGAACTAGTGGCCAGAATGAATAGATGGTCCAACATTGACAAAGCCATGAATTTATTAATTAATTTAAGAGGAAAGGCTCTAGGTTCTTTAAGTGATATTTCGTTAGATGAACAAAATGACTATGATCGTGTAAAAGAAATCTTACGAGAAAAATTTGAACCCAACAACCAAAGTAGTCTCTACAAAGCACAGTTGCGAAGCAGAAGACAGAAGAAGAATGAGACAATCCAAGATCTTGCATCTAGCATTAAAGAATTAACCAGAAAATCATTCCCAGGAGCTACACAATTAACTGTAGAACAAGAAGCTATCACATACTTCTTGCAAGCTTTAGAAGATAGTGAATTGAGATTTTATGTACAACAATCTAGACCAGACACTCTACAGAAAGCTGTATTGATGACATTAGAAAGTCAGTTATTTCTACAAGAAAGAAGAAAAAGTATGAGTTTCAGTCGTAGTATAACCAAGTGCTATTTTTAAGGTTTTTGCTATTTTCCAAGAAAGGTAACTCTGTCGGCCTTATTTGATTTTAATCTTTACTTTGTGTGATTATGTCCCCTTGACCACATTTGCTATTTGCTCAACCATAACGTTTCCCTCCTAAAGTTAGGGTCACTTGAGGTCATTCTTTGTGTTAAAGAAGTTGTTGGTCATTGTGACATGTAGATGTGATGTAGATGTGATGTAGATGTGATGTAACTTTATTGTAACAGTGATGTAACTGTGATTGATGCGATATGATGTTTATGTTGTACGATCTATGATATATGATGTTTGACGTGGAGAAGTACTTTGTAACCTGTTAACTATAACTAGTGTCCACTACAAATTAAATTGAAGAACCAGTATTACCCTCAGTTTTGTTCTTTTAT